CGGAGAGCAGCAGCAGCCCCGGGCCTTGCGCGCGGCCCCGGGGAGGACTCTGTCCACACCCGCCTTCTCGGTCTCGGACGAAAATCCGACTAAATGAGCGGTTAATTCTGGCATCTGTTGTCACATCTTGTGATAAATAGGCTGTTGTTTGCCTGATACAGAAGTACCTTAATAGTTGCACTGCCAGTGAAAGAGCCCAACGTGTAGAGCCTTTCCACTGGGAACCTGAGAGCGTCTCGCTCGCTCGTCAGGAGGTGCACAGTCTCTACTTTCTCCCCTTTGCTTCGGTTACAATTCCAGGTAGTTCCTGCCCTGTCACCAACACATTCCGCTCTTTGCCCCTGTTTGGGGATGACATAGGTTTACTGCATTTGATTAGATTAGTGCTAACCCTTCGTGTTTCCAATACACACCAATAATGCAACGTGCTTTTCTATCTTTAACCTCAAAACTTAGGAGCAGAAAAGTACTCAAATGAAACTTTAAATTAGTTTAACATAATAAAATGAATTACTTCAGTCCTGATANTTTCATAAATAATAACTAGCACTTAAGTGTTACCTACTATAAGCCAGGCCCTGATCTAAGTATTGGAAACTCTGTTAATCTTCACAACAATCCTGAGGTGGGTATATTTTCCTCACTTTGTAGATGAGGAAACTGAGGGAGTGGGGTGGTAAAAAACCAGGCCATCCGGCACCAAAGCCTTTAACTACTATGCTTAGATTTCATCCACTTCTGAGATTCAAAATATTATACAGTGCATATATATGTGGTAACAAAATCAGGGCTAAAAAATAAATTAAGAGCATAAGAAGGATTTATGAGCTAGGGATTATGCTACTCACAGGAGGAAAAATCAATAAGGGGGATACATCCTGCTTTCAGTGTAATTTCAGTTGGCTGAGTAACAGAAATATTTTAAGATGCCTAAAAAAAGGACACAAAGGCTATTGTAAAATGGATATTCAGTTAAATATTCTTGGCAGATTGGCAGATGACAAACCTAATGAACTCAGGGTTTGTGAACACATTGAGTACCACATTTTCATTAATACCTTATGTTTTATGTAAATAGTAAAATCAACTTTTAAAAATGAATTGTGGGCCGGCCCGTGGCTCACTCGGGAGAGTGCGGTGCTGATAACACCAAGGCCACGG